CATTAGACTCTCAGAATCTTAAACATTTAGACTAGACACAGAGGGAAGCTCTCAGTTCCCTGATTGTCTCTTCTTTGACAGATCATAAGCATCATAGTTAAAAATGATGACTCCTGGCTGGCCAACCAGCATTCCCTGGTGAGCCAGTTGAGACGCGTGTGGGTCAGTGAAACCTTTCAAGAGAGACACCGGAAGGAGAACATGGCTGCCACAAACTGGAAGGAGCCCAAGCTGCTGGCCTATTGTCTGCTGAACTACTGCAAGTGGGTGTCCTCATGTGACCCATTCTTTCCAGGAAGCTAGGGCCCTCTGTCCACACTTGTGCATAGTTGTGATCCAGCTTGCTGTAGAGAATAGACTTAGCTTTGAGCTGTTTAAAAGGCAAGTCTCAGATGGCACTTAGTTATGAAATTGGCCATAATTTAACCTGTTTTCTTATTTGACCTTCAGAAGGAATTACGGAGATATAGAATTGCTGTTCCAGCTGCTCCGAGCCTTTACTGGTCGCTTTCTCTGCAACATGACATTCTTAAAGGAGTATATGGAGGAAGAGATCCCCAAAAATTACAGCATTGCTCAGAAACGTGCCCTGTTCTTTCGCTTTGTGGACTTCAGTGACCCCAACTTTGGAGATGAGCTCAAAGCCAGGGTGAGTCCCGCCGTTGTGCAGTAGCAGCCATGGGCATGTGAGCTAGTTTCCTAGGGAATCAAGGGCACTACTCATGATCTGCTGGGTCTCTGTTGACACTTAAACAGCAGCCTGGACTGCTGAGGAGGAAATCCTGTTGTCGAGAAGCATAAAGGCAGATCCAGCAGTGAATCAGTGTTGAAAAGTAGTTTGTTAGTTTCTTGCTTTTAGGAAATGACTTGTGTGAAATGAGACTAGTAAATCAGGCTGAAGTCTCTTTCTCTCAAGTTTTTAACCTACCCTTCCAGTTGACCATTGGAATGAAAGTCAGGGTCATTAGTTGTGCCCTTGATTGAGTTCTAACTTTATGCGTGTTGTGTGACCAGATGGATGGTCCTGCCCACCTTACAGAAATAGAGAGCCTGGCTTTGTTTTCATTCTCCTTCCCTTTTATTCTATTTTGTTTTTTTTGTAGGTTCTGCAGCATATATTGAATCCTGCTTTCTTACACAGTTTTGAGAAAGGGGAAGGAGAGCAGCTCTTAGGACCTCCCAACCCAGAAGGCGATAACCCAGAAAGCATCACCAGTGTGTTTATAACCAAGGTGACATCACTCACAGTACATTGGTGTGGCGAGGGCCTTGGCGGACGAGAGAGAGACAGAGAAAGAGAGATGGGTTCACCAAACAGGCCTATTTCCTTAAGGCTTTTATTTTTCACAATTGCATTAGTTCATAGCAGAGCATTATGTTGTTTTTACTAGGGACTCTTCAAGGCAACCTCACTTTGGAATGAATTGACTTTTCCACATAAATAGATTCCAGTGAGAAACAGCATATATTTCAGTGAATATTCAGATATTAAAGTTTTTGTAAAAACCCCAGTGCTGATCAGTAGAGTTTTCATGTACTGTTCTCATCTCTAGCTTTGCAAAGGAATCTGATAAAGACCAGTGAGAATATTGGACTGACTCCAGTTGCTATTGTGACCCTTTGCTGCCATTAAACATCGTTGTGGCAGTAGTGATATCTGAAATCAACTTAGGTTTTAAGGTCTCTGACCTTCTGCAATAGTGTTTCCAGTTTGCAGAAGGGAGGTTTAGAGTTGAGTGTCTTTGAGAAATGCCTGCATGGTGTCCCTCACAAGCCTCATGTGCTTTGTAGGTGGGGCTGTTGACCTCCACTAGCAGGTGCTGTGTTGGCCTCAGGGTTGTTAGACTGAGTGTCCCGCAGACGCATTGCTGGGTGGAGGGCTGTGAGTGGTGGGCCTTCCCCATCTGCGGTGTGGTGCACACACACAGACACTCTTTGGAAGACGCAGTCGGTTTTCTCCCCTCTTCACCGGAGGTCCAGGCAGAGGGGACTGTTGTTCTTGGCAGGTTACAATCCCTCAAGATGAGCCACCTTCCAGCAGTTTTTAGCTCCCAGCCACCCTTCCCCTTGCCCCCAAGATGAACTAGCTGTATTCTGGGCAACTGTGGGGAGACAGTGCCCCAGTTGTGGCACCTTCCCCTGGGCTGCCCTCTCTAGGCTGGGTCTTCTGGGTTGGACACTGCTGACCCGGCATGAGTGGGGAGGAGGAATTTGAGCCTTGGATGAGGATGAATGGCACCAGGCAGGCGGGAGCCCCGGGGCAGGACCTCTGTGAGGGGGCAAGTCCAGGGGAGAAGGACTTAGTGGCCAAGGGACCCTGATGGAAACACTTTTGTGATGGAGACTGTCCTTCCTCCAGGCCTTCTTGGCCGAGAGTAGTTAAGCAACTTACATGGTGAGTACACTTGATTCAGTACAGACAACTAGACATTCCTCAGTGTGCATGTTTTATAGCCATACAGTGCATACAAATAAATCTACCAGGTACTGTATTACATAGAAAACCATGGCAGTATTTTTAAAATACAGATTTTTTTTCCAGGTGACATTTTCTCATAATATTGAAAAATAAGGACCAGGTAATTAATAGTTGATCAGGAAAAAATATATCAACTGTTTGGAAATTAGGAAGCTGAGTCCTTGGTTGCCTTGCATCAGAGAGGAGGCCCTCCTTTTCCACAACAAGCCCCTTTTCTCCTGGCGTGCTGAGTTTTTTTCTTTAGCTCTGAAATAAATTCAGTGGTTCTGATCCATACGTATTAAAGGAAATTGATGCAGCATCATTGGTTCCCTTGTCTGGAACAGCATTACGTAGTGTGTGTGTTTGTGTTGTTAAGGTTTGAACTTGTGTGACCCAGAGTGGGTACACAGCTCAAGCCCAGAAGCGAGCTTCTTTCCACGGGTTGCTCCCACAGGTCCTCGACCCAGAGAAGCAGGCAGACATGCTGGACGCACTGAGGATCTACCTGCTGCAGTGTGCCACGCTGCTGGTGGAGCACGCCCCCCACCACATCCATGACAACAATAAGAACCGCAACAGCAAGCTGCGCCGCCTCATGACCTTTGCCTGGCCCTGCCTGCTCTCCAAGGCCTGTGTGGACCCAGCGTGCAAGTACAGCGGGCACCTGCTTCTGGCGCACATCATTGCCAAGTTTGCAATACACAAGAAAATTGTCCTCCAGGTACTTTGAGGCTTCCTCCTGTCCCTGACACGTGTATTTGCACACATGTGTAAATGCTGCTCTCACAAACGGTCACGACCTCTCCTTCCAGTCTTCTTTTCCCAGCACCATCAGCAGTGCTGCTCTCTGATATCTTAGAAGCACTAGGAGCCTCCCATGGGTATTTGTTCTCCCTTTCCTCCCCACTTACTGCCGCTCTCCTTGCATTCCTCTGCCTGCTGCTGCCAGCCTGCAGGTCTGTTGACCCTGTTTGGGCCCAGGGCCCCGGCCCTCTCTGCAGCAAAGGACAGTAGGGACTTTGGAGCCCTCCGCTCATCAGCCTCTGCCACCCATGGTTTTGGATGAGTCTGAGCCCCGCAGTGCTTTAGGCTTTGCTTCGTCACAGCCTGGGTTTGAGTTTGTTTCTTCTGCTTGTGAGCTCTGTGAGTTAGTTACATCTCCACATAAGAACTAAATGTAATGACATACTTGCGTGCGCAGCCTGTCTTTCCCATTAGCATCGGCTGAGTGATCACTCCGTCCTGTCTGTAAGGCTGCTCTTAATTGCTTTCCTCTGACTGCTCCCTTCTGGGAACCTCTGTGGCGTTAAAGCCGGGCCTTACCCCGTGGCTGTCAGCATCCTCTGCCTCGGGCCCTGGTACGTGAGCACGGTCTCCGCGGTTATCACTGCCTGCCTTGTGTCCCTGGGGCTGTCCGTGACTCCCTCTGGTTCTCCCCATTGTGCAGGCTTGGTCAAGTCCTGTTGATTTCCTGCACCTTTCCTGTCCCCGCCGCCCTCGCTGCCAGTCAGGGCCCTGCTTGTATCAGGACTTCACAGCTCACTGGACCTGTGACTGCAAGACTGCCTCTGATCCTGGCCCCGTCATTCCGCCGTCCCACAGCAGCATGCCTCAGCTCACTCCCCAAGTCAGGGCAGACCTGAGGTCTGCAGGGAGCGAGGGCTTGCTTCTCTGTGCACTCCACCCTAGCCCAGCCCAGGCAGGCACATGCTGGTGCTCAGGAAATGTTAGCATGAATGTCTTCAGTTATCAAACCTCAATGAAGAAGATAGCAACTACCTTGTTTCAACGAATTTTGTAAAAATCATTGTGCAGAATCATGCCTGGATTCTAGGTAATTGATTTTATCTTACTATTTTTTAAGACCTTCATAATCATCTGATGAATTTCTTTCTGGTTTCAGGTTTTTCACAGTCTTCTCAAGGCCCATGCGATGGAAGCTCGAGCAATTGTCAGACAAGCAATGGCCATCCTGACCCCGGCTGTGCCTGCCAGGATGGAGGATGGGCACCAGATGCTGACCCACTGGACACGGAAGATCATCGTAGAGGAGGGCCACACGGTCCCTCAGCTGGTCCACATTCTCCATCTGATAGTGCAGCACTGTAAGGTAGGAGAGCACCCTGGGGCGTGGGGGGTGTATGCGTTGTCAAGTGTTTCCTTTGAGTTGTTGCCTTTCTGTCGTTTTCTGCAATAATGAGGCAGTTACTCATCCTTCAGTAAAGGTGTTTCTGGTGCACTGATAACGTATGTGTATGGCTTCATCAACCTGGAAATTGCTGTAGGTTGAAGAACGTGTCCCAGATGTATGCTGCTTTCTATCTGAGACTGCATGTTTCTTGTCAGTACTTAAAAGAAAGTTTTTGTAACTTCTCATGACTATTACAAACATTTAATAATGAAAACTCGGAGAATTAACAGTGCCTACAGATGAGTTAACCTTGGGTGGCTGTCATCATCTCAAGATTTTCGCAACTTGGCTTGAAAAGTTGTTCGTGTCACTGGCACCTTCCCTACAGCCAAATCACCCACTTTGTTGGATTTATTCATATGTAAATATTTCTTGTAGATTTTGGGTGGAGGATAAAGGATTGAGTTGAAAGCTAGTTCTTCTACAGCCAGTTCTTTTCAAATTGGAAATTTGCTTCTTGGTTAAACTTTTATAATGTCAAGTGTAAAGAGTGATACATGTGACCACGTGACTAGACTTGCCTACTTAAAACATAATTCAGTGTTTCAACATTTTTTTTTTCTTTTAAATTAGGTCAATTTTTTTTTTTTTTTTTTGAGAGGGCATCTCTCATATTTATTGATCAAATGGTTGTTAACAACAATAAAATTCTGTGTAGGGGACTCAATGCACAATCATTAATCAACCCCAAGCCTAATTCTCAACAGTCTCCAATCTTCTGAAGCATAACGAGCAAGTTCTTATATGGTGAACAAGTTCTTACATAGTGAATAAGTTCTTACATGGTGAACAGT